TTGCAAAGTCATTTAACAAAGTTTAGAATTTCATTGAATAGTCAACATGGTTTTACTAAGGAAAAAATCTTACCTTTTAAATCTTTTGACATTCTTTGAAAAAATTACTGTTTATGTAGATGAGGGTAAGCGTGTATATTTGATTTATCTGGATTTTCAGAAAGCATATGATAACGTGTCACATAAAAGGCTTGTAAAAATATTATCTTTATAGGTGTGGGGGATAAGTTAGCAAATTGGATAGCATAGCAGCTGGATGGAAGAAAGCATAGGGTTGTTGCAAATAGAGTTCAGTCAAACTGGATTATTGTCACAAGTAGGGTACCTCAGGGCTCAGTCTTAGAGCCTTTGCTCTTTATGATTTACATCAATAACATAGGTGAAGGAATAATCAATAAATTACTTAAATTTGCAGGTGCTTTTAAGGGCTTGGGTGTTGCTGGCTATGAAGAGAATGCTGCTGATTTATAAAAGGATTTAGATCATTTTGTGAGTTGGGCAAATAAATGGCAGATGAGTTTTAATTATAATGAATGCAAGATAATGCATGTGGGTTATCATAATTTGAATTGGGTTATCCTTAGGTATATGTGTTAAAGTGTTATGAAAGAAATGGATCTTGGTATAATAGTTAACAGTTTTTAAAGCCATCCAAGCAGTGTGTTGTTGCTAGTGGTAGGGCAAACAGGATTTTAAGTTGTATCTATAGAAATATTGAATATAAGTCTAAAGAGGTTATAATTTCATTGTACAGGTCACTGGTTAGGCCACATTTGGTTTGGTGTGATATGAATATCATGCAAAGCTACACGAGGGCTCTCTGTGCTAGCAGTCTCTAATTTAGCAGAGTAAGACTAAAGGGAAAGCAGCTAGTCATCACCACTCACCACCAACTCTTGGGCTACTCTTTTACCAACGAATAATAGGATTGACCATCACATTATAATGCCCCCATGGCTTAAAGACCGAGCATGTTTGGTGTGACAGGGATTCGAACCTGTGACCCTCAGATTGTGAGTCGAGCGTCCTAGCCACCTGGCCATTCCGGGCCTACCACATTGGAATATTGTGTTCAGTCTTGGGCTCCTTACCTTAGGAAAGACATTAAATTGTTGAAAAGGATTCATAGAATGGTGACTAGAATTGTGCCTGGGATGGAGGAATTGTCATACGACAAAAGGCTGAAATCTCTCAAATTGTTTTCTCTTGAAAAAAGAAGAGTTAGGGGGGAATCTGATTGAGGTATTTAAGATTGTAAAGGGAATTGATAGTGTTGATGCATCATCTTTTTTCATACTTAACAGTGAGAATAGTATGACTAGGGGACATAAATATAAATTTTGGCAAGGTAGGAGTCATCTTCAGCTGAGACAGTTTTATTTTTCTAACAGGATAGTTGGCCTTTGGAATGGGTTGCCTTAAGATGTTATAGAGGCAGTAAATTTAAGTGAGTTTATGAAAAAGCTTGATAAGTATATGATTGATAAGGGCTGTCCTTTAGATGTTTTTTTAATTATTTGAATTTAGTTTAGAGGATGGAACAGCCAAGAGGAACCAATAGGTCCCATGTTGTCCCAAAACATTATGTTGTGTTAATTTATATATTTATGGAAAAATGGCTAGCCACAATTTTGAAGATTGGTTAAATATATTACTACTTTCCTTGCTGTATTATAATTATTATAAGTCATAAAAAGATAACTTGTATGCCCATTTCAGATGTGTTCTATATTGTTCAACTCTTTAGAGTTATAATTAAAAGTCCTTAATTAATAATTACAAAAGGTTTGATTGATTGACTGATTGAAGTTAAGCACAAAACTACACAATGGGCTATCTGTGCTCTGCCCACCACGGGTATCAAAACCTGGTTTCTAGCATTGTAAGTCCACACCCATACCGCTGTGCCACTGGGGGGCTAATATAAAAGAAAAAATGTTTTTGGCCTAATCATTAAATTGTAAAACTATAAAATAAACAATAGCAAGCCATCATATTATGTGAAGTGTTTGTTATTTTTGATGGAAATTCTGTGAGAGGCCTATAAACATGCGAGTACAGCATGACACAAACAAATGTGTAAACATCTTAGCTCTAATAATGGCTGGAGATAGCTTGAATGGGTAATGAAGAAAAACTTTAATATAAGTTTAACATAACAACAAATGTACAACGTTTCGACAAGGTTTTGTCATCATTTTGTTTCTCTTGTGCCAGTTTAAAAAGTCACTTGTAGGATTATACTTTTCAGGCACACTCTTGCAACTAACAATAAAACTTATCAATAAAAGAATAAATTTAACTTCAACAAGACCTTAGAAGTTTCAATAGGACTTCTGGCTTTTGTTTCACGCACAGTTTTATATGGTAAAATTTATAAATCTAGCTGTAAATTGATCTTCCTGATGATGTAATGTGTACAGTTAGTTTGCATTCTTTTACAATTTTCTTTGATAGAAGATGTATGGATATATAGGGTTATGGATTACAAAGCTATTTTTCATGTGTGTGTGTGTGTTAATGTATAACAGATGTCTTCAATGGGGCAAGTGGCTTTTTTCAGCTTCCTTTTTCTTATATTCTTAAATACAATTTTCTTCTAGGTTTCTCTAAGTCTGAAAAAATCAAGGGAATAGAAAAAAGATTTCAATCAATGATTTCCAAAGTGAAAAACAATGTGTGTTATCAAACATACCTTTGGTCCAGGAATTCCTGGTAAACCTTTCTCTCCTTTTATTCCTTGTAATCCTGGGTGTCCCTGAAAAAAAAAAAATTCATTAACTTTCAAACAACAGTGGTGGTAATTTAAGTTTATACTTCCACATACCTGATCAGCACAAAACAAAATATTTGTAGATCCAAAATGTAGAAAGAAATAAACAGTGATTTGTGACAGGAAGAATAAAACTTTTTAAAACTGTTTTGAAACATAGATAGCAAGGGAAAGAAGTCTACACGAGGAAATGATCATCTAGTGAAAAACTATGACAGAGTCTGAAGTTGGAAGTAAGCTATTTGATTTGAAAGTACACAAAGCATGAACAATGAGCTAAACGAAATGAAACACATATGATCAGCAGCACTAAAAATGGCTTCACAATACACATTCCTCTTGCAGCTGACCAAGTAGAAAAGGCATCAGTCGTTAAAATGTCTTTGTTATGTGCAAAAGTGGCAAGGAATCCACCAAACACAAGGTCAAGAAGGACACAATGCTGGTCAAGCTACAAAAGGTAACATTCAAGGATGAAATTTTGCCCATGATCTCAACAAGATTTAAAATGTTCCAAAATTAGAAATCAGAAAAAATGAAGGAATCCATCAAACACAAGGTCAAGAAGGGCACAACACTGGTTAAGATACAAAAGGTAACATTCAAGGATGAAATTCTACCCATGATCTCAAATGATCTCAACCAGATTTAAAATGTTCAAAATTAGAAATCAGAAAAAAAAAGAAGAATTTTGTAAGCAAGGAATATACACAATAGATCAGAAAAATATCCTATTTGCACACAATACAGTACTAGTTCTTCAGCTCCTACATTTTGAGCAACATATGTAACTGCAGCTATAAGGAAACCAAAATTACATTGATATTACAATAATTTGAAAAGCACTTAATCATTTTCTCTTTTAATCATATGTAAAATTCTCAGGCTACAAACAACTCTTTCAGGGTATTTATAATAAATGTTGTTTCTACTAAACAAAAGACAAAGTTGTGGCTATTATGCATCTGGAATGATCTAAGAGAAAATTAATATAAATTATTACATTTTTAGAGCTAAAATACATTTCAACTGGGTATTTACCTCTGAAATACTGAAAGCCCTTCCTTGTTCAGTTTGAGCTCAAGCTTTTAACAAAATATGACTAAATATTTCTGAATGTCCTTTACGTATTGCAGACCATATGTCACTTAGCCATAACTCTCACCTTCCATGTGATTTATTGAGCATGCTTTATTGTATTAATTTAGATTTGTGTAAAAGTTGCAGTTGTGATGAAAATTTGGTTGTGGGGAGGTGGAATGGAAAGTATATTAGAGGTCAGTACCAGCTTTAAATTCATTTCAATTCTAAAAATTTAAATCAGGCAGATGTATCTCTGAAATACTGAAAGCCAGAATACCCACATTGTAAAGAAGGTGGGAACTGATGAACTACAAGCTACAGGGCAGGAAGATAATCTATCTAGACACCAAAGGAAATATATATAGTTAAGCAAAGTTGGAGTAGAAACCAGAAATGAATTTTTAGAACTAGAATTGAATGTAGCAGACGAGCCTCATAAAAAACTGGGCCTAAAGAACATTCAGAAAGAAGGCATCCTTCTTTGCACCTCTTCACTATTTTTATTCAAACAAAGAGGTCACATTGCAAGCAGTAATAGAATACTGCACCTGTGGAGCCAATAATAGGACACAGGTGGTGGCTTAAACAGATAGGAGGAATACTATGTCCTGCTTCTGTGATGGAAGGCTCTTGGGGTGGAAGCATCCGAGAAATCTATTATGAAAGAATATACTCCAGAGGCAGTAGCCTTCTTCATCCATAGCTAAACTAGCCAGGGAGTTACAAAACCTGTCAAATTGGGTGCAAGGAGAGATTACAACATAAAGAAATAAATAATTAAGATTCAAAACATAAAAGATCCTCTTTCTGGTTGAAGCTGAGACACCTAATGATAACAGTAGTCCATTTTTAATATGTAATGCCACTCAACAAGGATATGCATGAAGATGCAGGAAAATTACCTATCAAGACATCATTAACCACCAGATGGCACACTTCCAAAGGACAACACCCTCTCATGGAGCTCCAGCACAGATAGTAGTATTTTTTTTTAGTTATACATACACACGTATATATATAAAACCACAATGATTTGTGTAACTTCAAAACAAACCATTACTCATAGCAATTTTAACCTGTAAAATATAAGCAAAATGCACAACTAAGGCCTCCAGCAAATGTACAGAAATTCTAACAATGGCAGAAACAGTTGCATCAGAAAGAATTTTGTAACAAAGTTAACAGCACGACTTTCAACAAGAAAAATCGGAATAATGTGGTAAAGCGGTGTTTATGTAAGATCCTTTGATGCATATATAAGTCATATGGAAGGTGGGATAGTAAAGAATTATAAGTAAGTGATGTATGCTCTACAATATACATGTAAAGGAAACTAAGAAAATTTAAGTCATATTTTGTTGAAAACATGAGTTCAAAACTGAACAAGGAAAGGCTTTCATTGTTTCAGTGGTACATTTGCTTGACTTAAATTGATTTTTTTCAAAGTCTTAAATGCCTTGCTAAACTTAATATAAACATATCTTTACCTCATGAAAATTGGGATTTTCTGAAGGTTGCTTACTTTTATTAATATTACATATCAGCGTATCATAATCTCTAACTAAATTAGCTGGTCATATATTGGGATGAGTAATAATTTTTCTGAATATAAACTGATTTAAACAAAACTTTGACCTTCATTACAACAATATCATTTGCAGTTTGATAAATACAATTGAAAATAATACAAAATCACCCTTTTTCTTGCCAGACATGGCAAATACTGAGGATTGAATGTACATTAGTATAAAAGTTGCATATTCTCATGCAGTCACATTAAATGCTACATATACAAGCCATGGCAGCATGTTTTGTTTATGGGGACTTCCCAACCACGGATCATTGTAAAGTTACCTCAGGCAGACTTATGACTGGAAGAATCTTTCAACCCCTTTCCAATGTAGAGCACAAGTATGCAACTCTTATTCTTGTTTTGTTGTTGAATTTTACACAAAGGACATTCTGGGAAGTTCTGATGAAGCTTAGGATGGAATAAAATTGGTGATCAATGAGTGTAGTTGTGCTTTGGCATTGTTGTAAATACACAAAACTTAAAAAAAAAGGCCTTTGTCATTTATTTGTTAATAGCGTTTTCTTTGTTTCAATGTGAAACAACTGGGTCAGTCTCTTTTCTTTTGAGCAAGTTTTACATATTCATGTTCTGCACAAAAATTCCAAAAACCTCTATTTTTACAAGTTTAGTATTTGCTTGTCAGCTTTAGTTTTAACAGAATACAACAATAAAACCTGGAACCTCATTCTTACAAAGTCTAACTAACCCTAAGTATTTACTTAATTTAGAAATAATATTTTTTAATTAAAAGAAATTGTTTTTCTTACAGGTAAACCTGGAGATCCTGGAAAACCTCTTTCACCTCTCATTCCACGGTCACCCTAGAATGATAACAACATATCATGAATTAGTTTCATTACATTGTTTCTGACTAATATGATTCTGCAATTTTAGTAGTTATCACCATTCACAGATGTATTTAGCTGTATAAATAGTTGACAAATATCCATAAGGCCAGTTAAATGTAATTCACTGTAAAAATCTCCACTGAGAAGCTAAATTAATTTAGAAATAGCTTTCTATTAATAATAAAACATTATCTGAAAATGTACTTATAAAGTTTCTATTATACCTTTGTCCAACTATATAGTAGGGATATCTCAACTAATCTCTGCATTAGATTCTTATCACAGTTTTCATTTTTACCTAATACGTATATATATTACAGAAAGTGGTTGTGATGTTACAAATATTTTTTTTGAGAGTGTAGGTTCAACATTTTTTTTGTTAAAATAAAAATCATCTGATTTAAATGTTATTTTCCAGGATTCAGTTTGATAATGCATAAACCTTGTATAGCATGTTCCTAATAAAAAATTGTGTATGTTTACTGGTTCATACATTTTAAAACACAGCATGTACTGGCTATATGGAGGATCTGTCTACCACAATTAACCTGACGTCTGTAATCATCTTTGCACTTAGCAGTCCTCAATAAGTGAGGAGACCTGAAATCATTTCTACAGTTTTAGCCTCATGCATAAAGTATTTTTCTTTTACATACTGTGAAGAAAAGTCAGTTGAATAAGGTTAAGTAGGTGTAATAAAATGGTATTTTAGTTTATAAACATAAAGATAGTTTAACAAGAGACAAGAAAAGACCATATAACAGACGTTATTGTTTTACTGATATGAGTTTAAGAAGTCACTGGGAGGATTGTACTTTTTAGCTGTACTTTTATGACTAATAATAAAGAATATCTACTAAAGAAGAAGTTAAATGTTGTGTATAAATACTTATAATTGTTATTGAGGTTTTACACAAAATCTAGTCTTAAACGATAAAATCTAAAAAGCCATTTTATGTGGCAAAATAAACCCTATAAAACTACCTGGCTGATCTCATCTCTGTAATTAATACTGTGAAAATAGATGTGAAGCAAATGGATAACATTTGCAATAAGTGATAAAAACAAAGCAAAAAACAAAACAAAAGTAACTATGTTTGTTTGTAGTTAAGTGCAAAGCTATAAAATGGACTATCTGCACTGTTCCCACCATGGGTATCATTATAAGCCTTTATACATTGCTCAGCCACTGGGAGGAATGTAACTATGTAAAAACACAATGCAGCTTTAATCTATTAACTATAAGTTTAAAAACACATCCTAAAAAATTACCACAAAATTACCTTAAGCCCAGGAATTCCCTTTTCACCTTTTGCTCCAATAAAAGTTTGGTTCCTTCGAATCACTTCTGAAGGACATGATGCTGGAGGACCTGGTGAGCCTCTGATCCCTTTTTCTCCCTGTGAAAGAATGTGAATATAGTTTCAGAAACATTTGAAATTCATAATGTAAAAAATATGTGCTCAAGTCAATAAACTACTAATATATAGAAATATTACATAATCTATCAAATCTTTAACATTTGAAATTAGAAAAAGAAAACAGTGATACTGATTTTTCCATCTTAATACTGTTCATGTTGGTTCTGAAGATACAAAAGTACACGTACACTCATATCTTCTTCCCTTTTCTGGTAATTAAAGATTAGTTTTATACATAAGTAAAACTACGTATCAATCAAACTATAATTAGTAAGTTCCAGAAAAGGAACTGCATGACTGGAGTTTATATGATTTATAAATTGGTATGTGTGTGAAAGAGGTATTTTTCCTTAGCAAGTTTTTATTATAGGAATGCAGCTTGTACTAAAAGAAAGACTGACAATTCTCTGTAGAGAAAACAATGTAATATAATACATCATTTGATAGATGTAAAACTTGGCTTTCTATTGGTTATAAATAATATAGTATTAAACATAAGAGAGAACTATTAACCAATCCTCAAAGAGAGGTTGTGAGAGGTGGGAGTGGCAAGAGGGGTCTGATTTGCTATTTGAAGGCTCTGTAACCAAATAAGATTGAAGGCTAGGAAAATTATGCTTTGTTTGAGTGAATGCGATATTATAGTGAGTAATTTACTTTAAATTTCATACTTATTGGAGGGGTGGTGAATAAATTAAAGAAGAGGGGATCTCTAGAGAAAAAATGTCACATTTCTAACACTAGGGGAAATTGAGGATTTTTTTTTTCTAAATTTTGCCTTATAAATTTAAGAACTTAAAAGTTATATAATATTAAAATATAGATTATTAGCTATGGTTTTTGCTTCATACAGTATGGCCTGCAATTACCTTTAAAATTGTTATCTGGCCTGTACCCTGGAGGAAGTTGCACACTCACAACATTATTAATAGTGAAATAGCTGTACAAAAATTGAGTACATTTCACTAAAATTCTATAACCTTAAGTAGCTTCTCATATAGAAGTAAAACTGAATAACCTTTATGAAAAATTAAAAACAGGTTGAAAATGTTATTGGTCATTTTTAAAAGCAGAAGGTGTTTTATATGTAAATTTGTAGTTAATGTATCATTTAAACATTACAGCATATACTTAACTATATCTCCAAACTGATCTCTTTTTGCACAACTTATAAATTATTTTTTCTACAAAAATAAGTTTTATGCAAAATAATGAAATCTTAATAAAGAAGAAACTTGTACAATTACTTAAACTTTGAAAAGTAGTTTTCTACAGTTGCTTTTTGTTTTCTATGTGTGTAAGCATATGAAACAATGCTTCCAAAATTTTATCTTATCATGTGAAAAAATTATATGTAAACTCACTGGTTCTCCTTTAGGTCCAATTTTTTCAACATCACGGTCTCCTTTTAGTCCTGGATATCCAGGTTCCCCACGTATTCCCTAGAGACAATAAGAGGCCATTATAGACAGTGAACAGGAATCTTTATAACAGTACTAAACATACTGAGCATATAGAATAAACATTTGATTTGGGAAATCAACACAAAAGTGTGACAAAAAACAAAATATTTCCATACATATATTTACATGCACATACAAATGATCTCCAACCAACTAATAAACTTGCACTTCTATGTAAATATCCTTATAAAAAGCACGTTCAGTTTTTAAACAGTGATATCTAAGAATGAATATATGGCTGCTGCAATATAAATAAAATTGCAAATAATACTCTTCTTTTTTTTTATCTTCATTTTTTAAATTTAATTTTCTATGGTTACATGTCATTATTTGGTCATAAGTAATAAAAGTTTGCACACAAACATATGCACCTTTAGTTCGATTTTTAACAAATGAAATATTTTTTAGTCTTAGGATACAAAATCCACTGGTTTATATGGAATGATTTGAAATTCATCAATCAATTTTGTGAAGATGGCCAACACCATTAACAGGTATTGCACCTCAAAATATCATAGAACCCCCTGCATGACTGACTGTTGGCACAAGGCACTACTTCTGCAACCTCTCATTGGTGACCATATTCAAATCAACTGGAAACGAACATTCAAATTAGACTTATCTGTCCAAAGCACTTTGTACCACTGTTTCAAAGACAGGCTTTCTTATACTTCTTTTATGAGTTCCATTCCCATTCTATTATAAATTTACAAAATTAAATCTGGTGAGTACTCCACTCATTGTTAAGAGTTTAATGAAATTAAAATAATATACTTAAGAAACATTAGAAAAGAAATAACCTATTGTGCTATTTTATTATTTTGACACACATAATGTTTTAAAAATAGTCTAGTGATGGTAAAAACTAAAGTAGAAAAATGTTCTATGAACTCACTGGCAGTCCTCTTAATCCAGGTTCTCCTGGGGGACCCCTAACTCCATCTTTCCCTGGTCCACCCTAGTAAACAAAGATAATAAAAACAGTAAAAACTGTAGAGTTAATATCTACTTTCATACAAGTTTCTAAAATATCCTTTTAGTTAACAAAGCACTTTGTAATAAAGTTCAAGTGTTAAATTCCATTAGTATGATAACATTTCATGCAATACCAGATACCCTTATACCAGTAACAAATATGTTAACAAAATATGAAACTATCTCCACCATGTAATATACATACAAATAACGTATATACTACCAGCTAACGGTCTTGTTTTTTAAATCCCAAACTGTTTTTTGAAACTGTTATAATAATGATATATATATAGATAGATTAAATATACTGTTGCATTCAAATTACATGTAATCCATTTGATTGATAATGTTATTTTGGTAATATATATATATCACATATTTGGAAATTATTAAAAAATCAGACAATGCTGAACTTTTGCCTTACAGAGTAAACTACTCTGATATTTAAACCAACAAAATCTGTAGTAGTTTGACTGATGTACTCTTAATTTAAAACTACGAGTTAAAAACAATCATCAAGACCAATATCCTTTGTTTGAAGTTCAATGATGTTTTCACATTAGCAGAGGATTACTACTAATGTAAGACTATCTGAAAGTAAGAGTATAAATACAGTACACTTTACCTTCAAGACGAATGTAGTTGAAAGCTAGCACTTACACATGTATTTAACAGGAAAAATCTCTGTAATTTACATTAATCTTCAAAAAATTAATAACATCCAGAGAGATCCAATAATATAATGAATTTAAGAACTATGAGCAAATTAACATAAAACACTTAATGAAAAACAGATTTTAAAATACCAAGAACTAGACATTTCAGTTAAAGTATCTGAACTCTATTTTTTTTTAAACTATATGATTTTAATCCAATATCTTAGATCAATGTATCAACAGTTTTTACTTAATTTTAGTAGATTTAGACTAGTATTTGATTGTCATATAATGAACCCATTATGCTTAACTAAATAAAATATTACAGTTTTTATCTTATACTGTGGTTGAACATAGCTATTTGGTATTATCAGTTATCAGTTTTCTCTAACAAAAACAGACATTTAACCAATGAGATAGATATGAGATCAGATTATATTTACATTAGTTGTTATGTAAATCCTGCTGAAATTACTATCGATGAAAGAAAGCTCTTGAAGTCATATATCTTTATCTATTCCTACTTGGTCAGTTCTAAATTATTTCATAAACCCGTTAATAAAGGTTTAGTACAAAAAAAGATGGAACCAATTTAAAAATAAATTCCATGTATTTAACCTCTCTCTTGTGGATTTCACCCCCAGGTTTTCCTATATAATATCATATTATACAGATGAGCATTTTTTCAAAACTTGAAAACAATAAAATTCATATTAAACTTAGTTCATAGAAGTGTACTTACTGGATATCCTGGCAATCCATCTTTTCCTGGTTCTCCCTATCAAATAAAACAAGTCTGTATTTCAATATCATAGCCACTTCACACTTTATTAACTGAATATCAATTATAAGTCAATTCAAAGAAAGGACAGGTTAAAAATATAATGTTGATACATGAATAAAACAATATTCAAAGGTTAATGAGCATATGATATTTATTTCATCAACTTTATTACTATCATGATAATCATGATACAGATACACTGTTTATTCTGTGTGCAATATTTAAGATATGGGAATTATAAATTTAAGCAATAAACTAAAACTTCTACTTATTTTACAGTCTAATTTCATTTTAAAATCAAGTTAATCATTATACATAACATAAACACATGCTGAATTTTGAAACATGTTTCTGCTCACTCTTCATTTATCACACAAAATCAATGTCTGATCTCTTATTGAAAAAAATAAATATAATAAACTGAATTTTTTATCTCGTTTACATGTATTTTAGTAATTTCATTTTATGAGTATGATGAATTCATTTTTATGGAAAATTACTGCAGTGAATGTACTTCCTCATAATAAAAGTTCTATAAAATATTACACTCCATAATTCAGGCTGGTAGATAATTTTTTTTTTTTTATTAAGATATGCTTATAGTATCAAAATAGACTATTTAACATGGTTTTCAAGAATCGATTTGGAGAATATAAAACACTGAATACAGAAATATTTGCTTAGAGATATTTTTAGCAGGAAGTTCAGTTTCAGTAATACTTAAAGTAAACACACACACAAACAAAAAAAGTGCTATTCAAAACATCTCACATAAGCTTCTCCAAGCACTGTAGTGTACACACAAATTATTTGCCTTGGTTATTTTGTGCCCTCTTTACCTGATCCATATATAAGCTCCCCATTATTCTTTTTTATTCACTTTCACTGGTAAGATTATCAGACTCGAACACTGGCTATTGTGTGGAGAAAGGGCAGGATAGTGAGTGTAAGAGGAGGTAAGTATTATTGGAAATACATTTTCATTATAGAAAAATGTAAAGTTCTGAAACAAACTTACTTGGGTGGTGAGGGCAAGATCCATACAGAAAGCATCTGTATAGAAAAACGGGTGTGCAAAATTGAGATATAATAAAGAACACAAGTGGGGGTCCACACTACTTCTGGAACAGGTGTGGTCTTTGCCCAGATAAAGTGAACTCAAAACATGGGTGGTAAAGGCCAACCAGCTATAGAGTCAATATTGTTCGTTGTCATGAGATTCGTCCAGGCCCCAACCATACAGACGAGGTTCCATGTCTCCTTGTTGGAATTATAGGGCTGTTGACGTGAAGCTAGATCCAAGGTGTAATGGCTAGGGAATGGGGACTGCAATATGATATAACTGTATAACAAGAATATGATATGAAGGGAACCGAACTTGAAAGCTACAGGACATTGCATGTCGAGCCACTGGAATTAAAAAGAGAAAGCAAGCAATATCCAACTGAAAAGTCTTCCTCTCAGCCTAAAGATGCTCAGAATGCAACAAAACCGAACTTGAAATTATGGTGCCAATTCATACCTCACCCAACCTGAAGAAACAGAGATCATCTGGCCTGGAAATACAAACCAACATCTTAACCCCTCAACCTGGGAGGCAAGGTAAAACATCCTGCCCCCAGAATTATGAGGAGTCAAGGACCCTTTTCCATATATCATAGAAAGTAAGAGTATGACCAAAAAGAAGGGCCACGTTCACACAATCAGAGAGCAAAGTGTCATCTCTGAACCAGAATTACAAGGAGACTCCCACATAGACTGAATGGCTTGCCACCCAACATCTGGGAAAACCATCTAGGGTTAAGGGTAGGAGAGTATCCAGCTTCACCTTCTTCAGTGGAATAAAGGGTACAAACATCACTCATGAGGAATAGACCTCTGGTCCACCACTCTGGCAACTGGAAGTTGAGGGTGGTAATAACTCCCTTGCTTCACTAGAAGAGAGGGGGGAGGGGTGACTCGTGTTGAGGATTCCCAAGGAATGATGCTCCAGAGCCAGCACAATGGGTGAACCATGTTCCCTATTTTAAAAATCACACCAATGCCAATTTGTTCAATTCAAGGGTTAGTAGGGATGGGCAGATACCCTTTACATTTTACTCATTACAGTACATGAGTGGCAGTACAATATTGTATATTATATTTGATATAAAACAATTGTTCACCACCTGGAAAGCACCAGGGTGGTTTCATGGAACACCCCATATCAACAGAGCACATTGCTACTAGGAATTAAGTTATTAGTCTACTGGTAGCTAGTGCAGATTTGTAAAAGCATACCTGACGAGGCAACACTCACCACTGAGTGGGATCCAAAGGAGAATGATGAGAAGGTCCCTGAAAAGGAATGAAGTTACTTACCTCTGTTACAATCAAGCTGGGGTTTGTATAATAGCTACAGGAGGGTAGCTGAAATCCATTTGAGAAGGAGACTGCTAAATCTCATAAATAGTGCAATATAAAGGTGTTAGGTATGGTCCACATACCAGCCTTTATAATTCTCTTCAGAGGGCAATGCAATCGAGCTACCAGGGACATCGATATATGTCGAACTTGAGGAGATGAGACCCTAAGTAGTCTCCAAAGAAGCTATCTGAACCAATTAACGAATCCAACTTGTCAAAGTGACAGGGGACAAGTCACATGATACTGAAAGATACTAAATAATTGGTGATGGGAGCCCCAAAACACTTCAATACACACCTGATACCATCAGAGAGCCAAAACAGGACATAAAAAACAACCCAGATCCAAATGGCCATATATATGGAAAATGGAGGGAAGACGAATAGGAGGGAAAGCCTTATCTCCTTCTCTAGCTGTTGCATTTTTAGGTAGAAAGGACCAGTCTGAATACAAAAAAGCATAGCTGGAATGGCACAGTGTCCTGTGAACATGAAGCATAAACACATCTGAATGTCAACACCCTCCAACCAATAACAGAAAAAAATATGCTATAAAAAAAGGTGCTATAGTGAACATTACCCTAAGGGTTCAAAAAGTGGACGTGTTAATGCATTAGGAACTTGAAAAGTGTGATCAGGACAGATAATCCAAAATTATTTCAAAAGTAATGACAAAACTGGGGACAAAAACTTTTCTTCTCTTAGAAAAATGAAAAGTAGCTGGTAAGGTAGCCTTATACAAGGCAACAGATAAAGGTGCAAAACCTTTGTCACACTACCATGTCATATACTGAGAGACATGTGGCACAGTGGGAAGAGAAGGGTCAAACCCATGTCTGAGAGACTACTGATGATTAGTAAACCATTTCCTTTGATAAAATTCCAAAAAAAGATGTCGAATGGAATGGTTTAATAAAGGTATCACTCGAGACATCAGTCCCTGATGTCATTCAATGGCTGCATAAAAGACAGGCATGAAGTCAAAGAACCCCAAAAATATCTGACCAAGGCTGACAAAAAAGAATTTTTTCCAATAAATACTTTGTAATGTCTTGTGTTTGTGTGATATTTTTTGACATCAATATTTTTGTGAAAAACTTTTATAATGTTTTAATAGAGTGGAGGAGTGGAAACCAGGGCTGACCGAAACAATATGGTGCCACCAGAAGAACTTGATAAGTGTTTTGGAATTTTTTGTTTGTGCACTTTTCACTGAAGCATTTCATAAATTTTCTATTACATTATGAAAATCTTGAAATATTACACCATAAATTTAAACTCACTTTTTGACCTTTTAATCCTGAACGCCCAGAGGCAGGTTCACCTTTCTGACCTTTGGAGCCTGGAACTCCTGGAGGCCCTATAGGACCATGATCACCAGGTCTGCCTGGTTTGCCAGGTAAACCCTAAAAATGTTTAAAATCAATCTCACTGGAGTTCTAATAAAACCTTTAAGTACTAAAGCAAATAATATCTCTCAAGTTCTTCAGTTTGTAAACAATACAAGTCAAATTAATGAATTAGATGAATTTAAAAACTAATTTAAACTTGTAAATATTATATCATTTAGAACCTTATAAAATAAAATTAGATAATCCAATTTGATAAAGTTTAATTGAAATGAACTTTCAATTACCATTTCTTTTGCTTTAGAAAACAACTACTCCAGAAACTTTATCAACATACAGTATATATCACTGGTATTATGCATCAGATCTCATTTTAGTGCATGCAATACATTGAGCAATTTAGTTCCTCATTTTCATAACACTTCAAGAACTTCTTGTTCGTTTGTGAGATACTAATATAATATATGTACGAAAGTTGAAGAAAAAACATTTTACACAAATTCTCCAATATGTTTTATATTTAAAAAAAAATCATTTTTTTCTTTTCCAATAAATACTTTGTAATGTCTTGTGTTTGTGTGTGTGTGATATTTTTTGACATCAATATTTTTGTGAAAAACTTTTATAATGTTTTAATAGTCAGAATAAAAGTTATCTGTTTGGATATTATGTCCTGATAACTCAGTTGATAAAACAACTACATGTGGACATGCGAGCCAAGAGTGCCAGTTTCAAGCCCCAGTTAGTGCAGATTTCAGATAAATTATAATGGCACACAAGCTAGTGGTCATTTCCACTCCTGAGAGCCGTTCCAAGATTATTTAATAGTAAATTGAATCAATAGTGCACTTGCTTAAATCAGTAGTCAGCCTAGTGTAATACATGTGTCTGTAATTGGATTGATGGCCAGAGAACAGATGTGTATTGTGTTCTGATGACCTGCTGTATCATGCTCAATTGCCTGGAAATGTGATGTTGTATGTTATAAGCTATGTTGATTATAGGGGGTTATATAATGGAGGTTAGCTACTTGGTATACTTAATGTTTGGAAGCTCATCAATCTCAGAAAATCATGAGTTCAAGCTTCAATCAGGGCATATTTCTTAATTTTCTGATTTTTTATGCTTAATATCAATAACTTTCTGAAAATATTTTTTTATATTAATTCTGAAACAAAACTTTCTTTGATTATAACAAATTACCCTAAACTGAGTGCTGTTTGAATGTGAATTATCCTACAATAGTTATAATTATTCAATGGCCTCTGAATTAAGGTCATAAAAAACAGCTGAGCAAGACAAACAGTAATTAATTGACAGATCCTACTTGGTTGACCTCTGGCTTCGGTCTCATGATAAGCATGTTCTCTTGAGTATATAATTTCTGTTCATCATTGGCCCTTGCTAAGATCTTAAACTAATTAGATTGGACAATTAAATAAAATTCACCAAGTGCATCCAAATTTATAAACTATATTTGATGTAATTAAAGCTGGAATATGGTCCTTAATTCAAAGAAAAAAATTATTTGTGGCAGTTAGGTTTAAAAACACAACTCAATTATATGTTTGGATAAACCTTTCAAAGTATATTTATTAACTGATTTTAATAATAGATAATTACCCTCAGTGATCTTTTGACTTGACACAAAACATGCCTGAAAGAAATATCTGACAAAGGAACAAGTATATGAACAGTAAACTTTATAGTTGGTAAAGTACCCAAAGAGTAGAAAACTACGGTGATAAACATTCTTTATTTTACTTGAAACTATGAGTAACATATCTTTATGATCTTCTCAACATGTGTTGTTTACAAAAATAACTTTTTTTCATAGTAGTATAAAAATACATCTATTACTATGGATGTTCCAACATGTCAGTATCGACCATATCAGTGATTTTTCCACTATTTCAGTGTCAGCCAATACTGAGCCAATAATTCTTCATCCTATCCCCATCATATGTGAATTAAGTGGAAGAAGGTAAAAACAAAGAAATAATGTTGCCTGTTGCTAAGCCTGAAGTTATTCCAGTAAAATGAGTTGTTATAGTCTGTAAAACTGTATTTATTAATCAAAAGTTAAAAGAAGAGTTTCTGAAATAATTTTTCTTCAGGTTTGCCTCTTTCTCTCTCTTGAAGCCACACTGAGTACTGAGTTATGGGTACTTATCAGTATTTTTTCTAAATATCTGTTATGATAAAAAGTGGTATCGGTACATCTCTATCTATAATGGAGACTTGGATTATTGTACTTAATTAGAATATAGAAAAAAACACTTGCAATTTTATAACAAAATACGTACAGGGTGTTCCAAAAGTGTGGACACATAAAGAAAATTTATTCTTAATTCATTTATTATTCAAATTCCATGCCATTAATAGCCATACACATATCAATTCTTGGTATACTGTGGCATCACGATATTATATTTTCCTGAAATATGTATGACTGACATTAGAAATGTGTTTGTTTAGCTTTAAGAATATAATGTCTCTTTTCCCTGTGGGTTCAGAATTCTGGGACACCCTCTATAATATGCATGCCTTTTGTATTTATTAAAATAAAAAACAATCCTAATAGTATGTAAACAAATGTGTAATGCATTAGTGGCTCAAAAAACAAACTCACATCTGTTCCATTACATCCATCAAAGCCAGGCAAACCTTTTAGACCTGGTGGACCAGGCAATCCCTAAAACAAATGCATTAATACAGAAGATGAGACATTTTTGTAAACAGAATTATCACACAAATTCATTATATGCTGATATGAGTAACCTAAATTGTAGTCTTCCAAATACAGTGCATGATTCAAAGGTTCCAATACTATTAACACAATTTTATTTGGAGATCATACAAGTAAACTTATTAAAATTTCTGCATCAAGTTTTGCATGTTTATTATTACATTACTGCTTGATAAACATTCAAATTACACGTGTAAACATATTACTATTCTTAACAGTAAGAAATAATAAGCTATAAAACATCAATTGTCTATTTTAAAAATTTGCTTTGAAGCTTCCATTTACAAATCATACCTCAATTTTTTTATTTGCATTTTGTTTCTCTGACTTAAATGAAAGACACTTAATGAATATCATGTTGAAATGTATCATTAACCATGAATGAGTCTAAATCTATAGCTTGATTACTTAAAGAACTAGAATTTCACAGGTAAGTTTTACACTCTTGTTTGCTGAAATGAAGTGTTGGTTATTTAAAATGTAGTACAAAACTACCAAACTAGTTTTAGTTTAATTAAACCCTACTAGAAACAAACTGCTTTAACTTCTCATATTATATCTTCTACGTGTTGTACAATAAAAAGTACACTGTATGGTACAAATAAAAATCATCTTATGAAATGGCAGTTCCAATACATTTTAAGTAGTGAAACCCATTGTGGTCTTCCAAATACAATGCATGAATCAAAGGTTCCAGTACTATCAACACATAATTTTATTTAGTACATACATATATATATATATAAAAAGAAACATTAGAAATAAGATATACCTGTGTATAAAGAACATTAAATATCACTTGAGAATTGACAAGAACATGAGCCTGTTCATTAACATAATTTAGCCACTAAACGGATGAGGTACTACTGTTCCTAGAGTGCATAATATGCACAAAAACAGAAGCTCGAGGCATTGCGTAAAGCTAGTTTGCAATTAGGATTACAACTTGAAACAAACTGGACTAAAAATGTCGGGCATATGGTTAGTCATGCTCATTATCTGCTGTAAAGGTTTCTTGATCACACATTGATCAGTAAGTATTAGGTAAGAATTTAGGATCAAAAAATAATAAAATTCTAAGATGGGTATATGCAATATTAATTTTACAGTTACTTACAAGCATGCAGAATGTTTAGTTATCTGGATATACACAATTATTTTGATAATTGTGTCTTTATAACTGAGCAGCTATTTTTAGATCAAGCTGTTTTGTTTTTTTTTAATGACAAAAGAAATACTAACTTGTAGTAAGGAAAGAGACAATTTTAAACTGTTTAAGCCCAGTAGCAAATATCTTTGATAACACCTATGTGTTCAAGCTTAAATTCTGTTATAACAAACACATTTAGCTGATAAGTAAAACATTTCATTTCATAAACCCCATATGCAAAATTATATAAAATCTCACAATACACAGTAATTAGTATCCCCTTTCACTGTCTTTCAAACAGAATCTGTAGCAAGTTTATGTATGTTCATTTATTTATGATGAAAATTATTGTCTGTAAAAAAAATGAGGTATTTGAAAAAATGCAAGATTTTTGAAAAATAAAAATTCTCCATTTTCTGGTAAGAAAATTTGCTTAAATTCATCAGGTATATGAAAAACAAGACATACAATCTATTTTGTATCTATATATTTCACTATTTTGTAAAAATGAAGAAAAACAAAACAAACCAATACTGGTAAATTTATCTTACCTGAGGACCAGGAATACCTGGAAATCCAGGCATACCCATCATCCCCTGAAAGAAAGTGAAAAATGCAAAGGTCATGAAGAAAGTTAAAGCTACTCTCATTTCAAATAAAATTACTTTTAAAACATCTTAACTACTTATCTTATTAGAATTAGATCTACAAGGAAATTCTCAGTTCAAGGTAATAAATTTCATACTTGGAAGTTACTCATTAACAAAATTTAAAAAGTTTTCTACTGTTCTTAGAAGTAGCAAAAATGTATATACATGTATTGTGTGAAGGCCAAGGGGAAAAAAGCAAGATGTAAAACACTTCAGTCACTGTTAATTTAGATGGTAAGGCACAATTCAAAAAGCAAGTGATCATGGCTTTAAGCTACCACATATCTATTCTACTGTGGCTTCTTCACACTGGTATCCAGCCACTCTAGAAATGTTATAAGCTTAAACTTTAAGTTAAATAAGGAAATTTTAATTTCTTACATTGTATGTAACTTTTGTGGTTTGCCGAGATATTTTTGACTATAATTGCCACATTTATTAATCTTCTGTAGTTCCTTATTCAAAATTAGCTGCATATATACACACACACAGAGATCTAAAAGGAAAACCTTATCACCCAAGTATTCCAAACACACTGTTTTATATAATCATAAGAAAATAAGAAAAAGCAAGGTGACAGAAAGACATTCACCAACCATGGCTATTTCTCACCAATACAATTAGCAGCAAACACAAACTTAAAATTAAATTAAAATTTCAACATCCATACAGATTGTAAAACTAATTCCAATTAACAGCTCACATCATATGATCAAAGAAACCACTTCATAAGTTTATAGCTCCAACTAAACAATAATAATTAAATAATCTAATTCTATAAAAAAAAAAGACAAATGTACACACTCGATCTCCTTTTGGACCTCGTAGCCCTTGAACACCTGGTTCTCCCTTATCTCCTTTATCACCTGGCAATCCTTCCTTTCCTACAAAACCTCTTGGGCCTTGAACACCTCTTGGCCCTGGTAAACCTGGTGTGCCCTGTTATGCAATATAAAGATATAATTTCAATTGACTGGTATTCAGGTTATTCTTTTTTTTTTCTAGTAATAGTAGAGTTATCAACATAGTTATAAAGGTACTTGTTATGCTTGTCATTCTAAACAATTGTTAAATATTCACTAAATTCCTTTATCTATTTGAAGTTTAAATGTTTTTTATTTTATTTCAGGTCGGTCTTTGGTATTCTTTTACTAATTTTTCGAAAAACTTATAGTGACAAATAGGTTTACATCATTAACTCCACTTTTATATAAATCTAATGAAGTTAGAGAACAAAAAAATATTTGTTCCTCAGCAATACAAGTTCAGTCTTTGTATGCTGTCAACTAAAATTTTCTCATTTTCTTCTTTATCACAAACACAGCTTTAACATCCAGTTACCAGCAAAATCAGTAATCCTTCTGTCATTTATAAGATACTAGCAGAAATGCTGCCCTAAGGGCAGCTGTTTGTGCTAGTAATTACTAATCATTCAGATTCAGTAAAAAGTATTAAATATGTTTATATGAAGAACAAAAAATCAGGAAGCGAGTGCTAAAATCAGACTTTGATCCAACAGGTTCAACTCACAAATCACTTTTCTGATATGAAACCTACTAATATATTTTACTCGTTTATAAAATATATATATATATTGATTGATAAAATAATTTATAAGGCACTGATATGCTTTTTCTTATGTAACCATATTACAATAACTTCAAAAACAGAAAGTTACAACTTTTATATTTCTTCTCTAATTAAGTAATTTTCATTATGAAATGTTAGTTTTATTCAATTTTTAATGCTCACTCTGTCATCCATCAACTCTAATTCTGATTTATACTGACTAAAATAACACTGATAAAGAATTACATTTCACCAACTTAATCCAGTAAATATATCATTATTTGTTCAAGCAGTTTGATGAAATAAACAATAGTATATCAACCATTACTATGGTTGTCATAATCCAACTAGCCTGAAAATCTCAAGTATAGCAGATGTATAGTGGTTAACATATTTTTGTATATAGTTCTATATTTGGACTCAGAAGTTCATTTTAGTAATAAATCTTCAATGCATGTGTTAGTAAAGATTACCTTCAACCTCAGGTACCTGGGTGTGATTCTGTTTTATAGTTCTCCTTCCCATTCTAGTTGGTGATAATGGTTGGACAATGGAACACAGATATGTTTGGCAGAATAGGTGTTATCTTCAGCTAATTTTATTTTATTTTACCAACAGGGTGGTTGACCTTTGGAAAAGGCTGACTTTAAATATGGTAATTTGGTGGGTGCAGTAAATTTAAAAAAGTTTATGGGAGTGGTTGATTAATATTTAAATGATAACTTATAAGGACTGTCTTCATCAAAGAAACAGCTAGCCCCTTGTCCTTAAAAATAAAATTAAAAGTTAAATCATGTCACTGTGTGAAAAGATCAAAACTAAGTACTCCATCAAAGTCTCCATTATAAAAATCTAAATAACAATGTTTGGAGTTAATACAAGAACTTGTTCATTTGAGAGTGGTCAAATCAGTACATATTTAATATCACTAAAATCACAGAATCTTATTTGCTTAAAGAATACTCAACGAATCAAACAAACATTCGGGGCCGGCACAACCCGTTTTCCCGCCCTGTGCAAACGCTGACTGTGCCGTCCACCCGCATCCCCCACTCTTACCCCATCCTCTTAAGACCCTGTCGCCATGTGCGAATACCCATGCTGCACCCATCGATCGCGTAGGCCCTGCACTCATCACATTTAAATCATTTGTTGTTGTTCATTTTTTCTAGCCTGCAATATTCTTTCCAACTAAAATTAATAATTATTTTTGTTTGACATTATGGGATTTCAAAATGGCTCATCTAGTGATGAAAACGAAGGCCATGTATATTAAAAAAACAATAGCAAATAAAAAATGTAGCAATTATTTCAAAAGCAAAACTTGTAAAAATTGATTATCTTATCGCTGGTCCAGTACTAGTAAAACAGGTAAAAATTACAAGACCCGTGATAATAATTCTCGAGATTCTACTGTCTATTGCCTGTGGATTATGTGTTAAAAGATAAAAGTTAAGTCACATTAGGATTATGTTTCTTCTTATCCGATCCATTATAGTACAGAAAAGTGCCTGCAAAATTCACGAAGTTTTAGCGGCAAAGAAAATTTAACACCAAGAAATAAGTTGCACTCTTGAATAGTTATCATCAACATTAAATTTCCAAATGATCTAAGAAAGCGAATGAATATATATTGAAAAGACGGTATAAGAAATATATCAGGTTCCCCAAGTTCAAAGGTTTAATGCTTAAGCGCTATCTGAACCACTGATTGGATATTAAACGACTCAAGCCACTTTTTCTTCAATATAAAATTAATAACCACGTTTCGAGGATGTTAGCTCGTCATACTTTCAGGCAAAAGGAATGTTACAATTCACATAAAAAATTAATACTACATTATGAGGTAGGACCTCATCATGTAAAAAAGACGGGATGTTAAGTTGACTTGTGACATATGAAAATGACAAGAAATATTCAAAAATCACTTAAAAGTTTATCTAAATTCAGTAGATTTACCAGTTATTGAAGCCATAACTTTTCCTAGCTCTTGAATCTACATTCGGCTATATTTACAAATTATGCT